TCTCCCTCGTCTATTTTCTGTGCTTAAAGGCATGGCAGACTGCCAGTTGACGAGCTACTTCGTTCCTTCTCCTCCACCTCGGAGGACGGTGTGTCATGCTGCAGTGACCTCACCCTTTCTGTGTTCGTTCTTGTACTCACGCTCATTCAGGATCCGAGTCTACCCTTCTTTTTCGTTGAAAATCTGTTCCATCGTACGCGCGTGGCACGCGTAGACAGGCTGTTCTATCATGTGTGTGTGTGGCACGCGTAGACAGGCTGCTCCATCGTGTGTGTTGCACGTGTAGATGGATTGTCATATCGTGCGTGTCTGGCATGCGTATATGGATTGCTAGACTGTGCATGTGTGGCAAACGTAGACAGGTTTTTAATCGCGTGTGGTATACGCGTAACTGGATTGCCATACCGTGCGTGTGTGGCACGTGTTGACAGGCTATTCAATGGCGTGTTGTGCGCGTAGGTGGATTGCCATTCCATGTGTGCGGCACGCGTAAACGGGCTGTTCAAGCGCGTGTTTTTACGCGTTGATTAATTGCCATACCATGTGTGTGTGGCACGCGTTGACAGGCTGTTCAATCGCGTGTGTGGCACGTGTAGATGGATTGCCATACCATGTGTGTGTGGCACGCGTAGATAGGCTGTTCGATCGTGTGTGTGTGGCAGGCGTGGCCAAACTGGTCTATCGTTATTGTGGCACGTGTAGATGTATTGCCATACGGTGCATGTGTGGCACGCGTAGATGTGCTGTTCAATCATGTTTGTTGTATGCGTAGGTAGATTGCCACGCGGTGCATGTGTGGCACGCGTAGACAGGCCGTTTAATCGTGTGTGTTGTACGCGTAAATGGATTACCATACCGTGCGTGTGTGGCACGCGTAGGTGGATTGTTGCATCGTGTGTGTCGGCCACTGCCCTTAATTCTGACTGGGGTCTTGACACCGAAGTATGTCAGATACTGCGCAAGTCTGCCATCACCGTAAACTCATTCATGCACACGTTGCCGTCCTTGTGTCCATTTCCCTGTTAAACTCTCAACCTATCCACGTCCAATTTTGTCCCAATTTTTATCCTGATTGTTGAAACTCTGTGACTTCTTCTTTACATTCTTTGCTTTTTTTCCCCCAGCTGCCCCCCGATCTCTGGCGCCTGGGCAAACTAAAGTCGCTCACCTTCTTTGGGACTCCAGCCTATGACCACCTATCGCGAATGCTGGTCGGGGGTCCTAGCACACCTACAGCACAGCACAAGGACACCAATCCAGGTGATCGCATCCTCAATACAGCAACCGTTCTGGCTTACTTGCGGGCTCTGCCTCGTTGGTACCGTGAATTTTGCATTCCTATCACAGCTTTCTTTTTCAAATATTGTTTCCACTCAATTATTTTTCACGTTTTTCAGTCCGCGAATTGTTTGTATAATGTGTTACTGATGGTTTTTCGGAAGCACTTATGCATTAGTCAAACGGATTGGCCCTCTGGCATTTTAATGATTACCGTTAGCTTTAATTTGATGAAACTTACTGAAATGGGCTAAATTTGTGGACAACGGTTTTCAACAGTTGGACACACTACTTATCCATGTTATTCAATGTTGATGTGTTACTAATTGTTTATCAGTAGCAAACTA